CGAGTGTCTCCCTCTCCCTCTCGCTCTCTCTCTCCCTCTCTCTCTCTCTTTTGTGAGTTATAGCAACCGTTGCCTTGTGAATCAAGCGCCATAGTCACCGTAGTCCTGGCGACTGTTACCCATCAACAACAACTACTCCTCTCCTCCTCCTCCTCCTCTTCCTCCTCCTCCTCCCCACCACCACCATCTCCATCACCCACCAACAACACCACAATAATCCACAGCCAAGGTGAATATTCTTCGGTCTCTACATGTGTGTGGGAGCGTGTGGCTGCGTGTGAACGCGTGTGTCCGTGCGTGTGTGTGTTCGTGTGTGCGAGCCGAGTGTGGCTGTGCAGGGGTCTCACTCCTGACACGGGGGCTGCCGCTGCGGCGCCGCCGCGGAGGGGCTCTGTTCCCCGGGCTTGTTTACAATGGACCCTGCGCGCCGCGGCTGGGTCGGGGGTGTGGGCGCCGCGCTGCCCGCCGGCCCCGGCCCTGCGCCGGCCGCACTTCAGGGATGGAGCGGGAGATTGGGGGGCTGCGAGCCGAGCGGGAGAGGGAGCCACAGTTTTCCGATGCGGATGCCGGATCTTTCCCTTAGGTCTGGTATGAGAAGAAGGGTCAGGTGAAGAGATAAGAATTTGTTCTTTCTTTAATTTTCTTCTTTTCTAACGCTGCTTGTTTCCTGCTGCTTTCAAAGCCGAAATAGACAACAGTGTGCAGGGGGGGACCCAAGAGGTGGTGTTTTGTTGTTGTTGTTGTTCACTTGTGGGGCCTTGTTATGGGTTTTGTTATTTTTATCCTCGTACATTGGTGAACTTTTCCCACCGCCTATTCCCTTCATTTTTGCCCCTCTTTGCTTGGTGCTGAATGGGCTGCTCTTCTTTCACCATCATCAGCTTCACGGTTTTCCTTTTTCTTTTTAAAACTGTGTTTTCTTTGTGCGGCAAACAGTCTTAATATCCATTCAGCACTCTTCCCTCCCCCTCTTTCTACTCCCCCACCCCCCCACACCCCTTGCACACACACGGAAACCTGGGGCCTCTTCGTTGGGCTCTCTTTGCTGTACTGGGAAAGAGGTTTTTCTTTTTTAAAGTCTGTCTCCTCTCTCTTCTTTGGGGGGTGTGTGTGTGTGTGTGTGCTTGTGATTTAAACCGGATGCACGGCATCTGTGATACTTGGGTTAGTAGTTATTGACAGTGCTTTATCCTTCATGTGGAGGTGGGAGGGGTAGTAGTGAGGTTCCGTTTCACTTTGATGATCCTCTTTCTCCGCAGTAGAGTGTTAACTATTTTCATTGTGGTTATGAGACTTTGTGATGAACAGGGAAGGGACACAAGGAAGCTTTGTGAGAACTCAGTTCACAATGTTATTTGTGACAGTTATGGTACTTTAAGAGTTTTTTTTTTTAATCTACTCTGTTCATTTTCCTTTGAGAGTTGAAATTGAAGTCAAGTTCATAAAGAATGTATGAAGCTTCTCAACTTGAAACGTGTGTATATTTCACTTTCTTTGTGGTTAAGATCTAGGCATGTTTGTACTTAACATATTCTTTTTATTTACTTTTTGATTTTCTTTGGACAGTGACTTGAACCTGCTCAGGAGAGAGAACTTTTTCCTTTTTAAGTATTTCTTTTAAAAATTATATTTCTCTGTAGATTTGAATACTTATTAGTCCTTATGTAGTAGGTTCTTGGTTAGCGTTAACCCAGTTTTACAGATCCCCTAAATTTGTTCATTTTTTTCAGCTTAACTTTTAGTTAATAGATTTATCAATAAAGAGTTTTGAAAATGAATGTGTGCTAAAACAAATACAACGTACTATTTTAGTTGCACATATTGAAGTTTTTAATTTACAGTTTTAAAATGCTTATTCAAATAGTCTTCTAACAGCAAACATATATTGATTTAACTGACAGCAGCTTGTGAATAATGTGACAGTACTAATTATTCTTGAGATTGTCAATGAGCAGGGTAGGTAATTATAATGCTATTAAGGCTAATATTTTGTAAACTAAGAGTTGGGATTTTAAAAAACTTTTTCAATTCATTTCCTTGCGATTGCTATTTTAAATGAAGATGATATTTTGTTCTGAAAGAAGTCTTTCTCAGAGTACTCAGAATTCTTTATAATTATTCCTCCCCTCCCCAAACTGGGTTCCATGCAAATCTCTAATACTAACTTGTACTTTTTTTTGTTCAGATTGAGTGTCAAATGCCTGAACACTTTTGGATGATGAAGCTCCTGGGTCCTATAAACTCTCTGAAGTTAATAGGAGTTTTGCTGTCTTGGGACAGTTTCAGACCTTATGCCATTTACATAATAGGTTTTCAGTTAAGTAAATTATATGCTGGAATGTTACAATTTAATATTTGCAGTGTCTGAGAACTTTTTTGAGGCATTTCACTCATGTATAGCTCAAGTTTTCTGTGATTTAGATTTTCATTCACAAGTTGATTTGAGAGCAGAACTTAAATTGAATTTCATTACTTTTCCATTTTTTGAAGCATATATGTGGAATAAAATTGCTATTAGAGCTGCTGTGGAATTGCTTAAATAATCAGAAACACTAAGAAATGGTAAATTTAAAAATTAAACCCAAGAGTAGATACTTAGCTTTTACTTTATTCTTTCTTAATATTTTTCCTAGAAGGGACTATATTACATATTGATACTTTCTTGTGTTTTTAGTTTTTATACTAATAGAAATTTGTAAAAGTGATCATTCTTTGAAACTAAAACTATTTTAGCAGAAGTCACTTGTAACTTGTTTTGAATAGTTAAATATCTGTGATTCAATGTATGCCATAATGCCTCAGTGTTTTTGGTTTGTTTTGCCTGTGAATTATATTAAATGGTGTAGGCATCATACGTATACACATATTTGGCAAACTAATGAATTTCTAGAAATTTTGCATCGTTTCACAATGTTTTCATTAAATGTTGTAGTGGTGCTTAGTTTTTCTGTATTATTCCTCCAGTACTCACATAGTCCTGTACTCTGGTACTCAAATAAAAGGTTATAGTTTATAAGCTTAATATGCTTTAACCCGAAACAGTGTATTTTACCCTAAACAAATTTATTATGGTAATTTTTTTACCGTTAAAAATAGCGATTAAAAAATGAATGAATCTTAAAAGCAAGTTGGATTTTATGCATCGTTTAAATGATAATATATGTTACTTTTTGATAACGTTTTTCATTTCTTGAGAAAGTTGATATTGTGTTGGTATTCTCCAGCTGAAGAAATTAGCAGGTAGAATATAATGATTTTTGGTTTTCAGATTTTAAAGTGTGGGTATATTTGTGTGTGTGTTTGTGTTTAAATGGGTGGGCATAGCAGAAGATATGTGGCAAGAGTTACACACACACACACAAACACACTTTTTCAGAACACTAATAGGAATGTTACTTTGTTCTTAGTATTCATAGTGAGAATGTGTTACAAGAAATGAGAATAGGGAAGAAGTAAACTTTAACATTTTGGAGCGGCTCCTGATTATTTTGTTTTTATGCTGAACCATTGGCTAAAAATCCTCTATTTGAGCTTAATTACTTTAAAAACAGTTTTCATAACTGAATAATTTGCCTTTAACTTTTTGGTATATATTCCCAGTGGCCATCACAAAGTATGTTTTAAATTCCTCTCTATTCAGTTACATAGTGTTCCCATATTTTGGAAATCCAAGATTAAGTGGATTTGATTGAATCTAGCTTGTTAGGGACAGATGGCTGCTTTAAACAGGTGTCACTTTCATTTTTTACTGCATTGTATTGGGACTTCCAGTGGTTGACAAAAGGGCTGTCTAAAGCAGGTGGCATCCTTTGCTTTTGTTGTTAGTAAAATCTACTTTAAGAGTTAATTATTTTCCTAGGAAAAGTTTTTTTTTAAATAAAGTATAAGTTTTGAACTACTAAAGATTCATAATTTAACGTAACTTTTATTTCTGAATATTATTCTATTTTTAAGTTGTAGAACTTGCAGATTCTTTCACAAAACACTTATCAATTCTTATAAATAATGGTAAATTCCCTTTGAATCCAGAAAAAGTACACAGGAACATTTTACACACCCAAGTCAAACCCCAGGGCCGATTTGAATAAAGTGAAATTTGGTTAACATGACAAGTTAACTTTTGTCGTCCTTCACTGAAATAATTTTTTGACAGCGTTTTTTATACGTTGGAAATAGGTATTGTTTTTGTTGGTTAAATATTTTCGAACTAAGCGTTTTCCTGACTTCATTTACTGCTATAATGTTTATAGTGATTTTTTAAAATGATAATATTTTTAAGTATTAATGTTCAAAAATATGTACTGCAGTAAATAAAAAACTATCAACCTATTGATTTCTAAGGTTCACGTTACTGTATAATTCTGTCCTTTTCTGTGGGAATTTTATATTTCTTATAACAGATGCACCAGAGGGTGCTGTGCTGTTTGCAACATGAGATTATTATCACTAAGAATGTGAACTCACTAGAACTTTTATTTAAAGAAAAATTTTTTAATTATATATGCATTGAAGCATATAATAGGCTTATTTTTATGGAGTTTAACATACGATCTTAATTGGCACTTTTACATCAAAACCTACCTTCGTGTACTAATACATATTACCGCAACATATAACAATATAAAGATTGGTATCTTTGGCACTGTCTGAATGTCAGCATTAGTCCTATGGGCATAATGTTGATTATCTTATGTAGATATTTTAATCTTTATTTCAAAACTTAGGTTACCCTGAGAATCATACTATTTGGTGATATGTGACTTTATACTTGTTAAATTTCATATGGTTAGCATATATCAGTAATTGTACATTCTTATAACACTTTTACATGGCATAATTAGTGATATACTTTTTATTGTATAATCTTTAAAAAACTGCACTGAAAAAATAAATGGCACTGGAAAAATAAATGGCAATAGTGATTATCAGGCTAATTCATAATAAAATAGTATTAACATTATCTAGATAACTCTGGCTGGGTGTATTGGTTCACGTTTAGAATCCCAGAACTTTGGGGCTGAGGCGGAAGGATCACCTGAGGCTATGAGTTCAAGAGCAGCCTGGGCAACAAGGCCGCAAGATTTCATTTCTACAAAAAAAAGAAAAATAAAATTAGCCAGGCTTGGTGGTGTGTGCCTGTAGTCCAAGCTACTCAGGAGGCTGAGGTGAGAGAGTTGTTTAGCCCAGGAGTTTAAGGTTACAGTGGGCTGTGATCATCCTACTGCACTT